CCCCTAAAATTTTAAATAATTAGAGCCATGTGGAGGCAAGACACAGTCACTGTTTCCCTATGCAACTGGCCTTGGAAAAGCCCACCCTCACAATTGGACTCCCTTTCTACCAGCACTCATGCAGGGAATCCCTGGAGCGGCAGCATACTGCATGATTTTCACTCCAAGCAGCTTGGACTGGAAAATGCATGGCTGGGGTGGAGGAGTGGTCCTCCTTAACAAGCTCCAACAAGCAGCTCCATTGCTGCTTCTCCAAGCCCAGCTCTGACTGCAGGCATGTGATTGTGACGGCAGGATTTTCCAAGGCTGTTCATAGAGAGAAACAGAGATGAGTGGGCTTGCCTCCCTGAGTGTGCAGTTCTAATTCTTTAAAATTTGGGGGGATTGTGTATGTGGACTGCTGAGGGAATCGGTGTCTGGAGCGAGAGGACAGCACGGGCTAACTGGATGGGGAAGGAGTACCGGACTTCCAGGGCTCATGTGGAGAACCCAGGCTTGGAGCAGCAGCAACGGTTTGGAGCTTGTTAAGGAGGACTACTCCTCAGCCCCAGCCATGCATTTTCCAGCCAGGCTGCTTGGAGTGAAAAGCATGCAATATGCTGTTGCTCCTGGGATTCCCTGCTTGAGCACTGGAAGAAAATTGGCCGATGGTCGACTGCAGCCAGAGCCAGGCTTGGAGCAGCAGCAGACAGACTTTAGAGTGCACAATCTACTCCTCAAGCTCCCAATGCCTGAACTGGTGAGCTGGAAGAGAGATTGTCCTTCATGCTGGTGAATACGTATGGACTGAGTGGGCTTTTTACTTCCTTCCCATCCTGATCCAGAGCAGGGCAGAGAGCCCAATGGAGGTGGAAAACAGGGCAAAAGTGACCCTTCTCTCTTTTTTCCCCTAGCCTCATTTTGCCAGCATGCGCCAGGTAGACTTGGCAGGCAGTAGCAATCTTTAGATGGGCTTTTATTTTGCCAGCCCAATGGGGGGCCCGGGGGGGGGGAAGGGCTGAGAATGGTACATAGGAAATCTGTCTCTGCAGCATCCATTGTTTGCCAGCGGACAGGCAATGAGGAGGCAACAGCAGGACATCAGACTAGGCCTCGGGAACTGCAGGGAAGGCAGTGGAGAAGGTAGGCAAGCAGGGACTGCAGGGAAGGCAGTGTGGAAGGCAAGCAAGTGGGCTGGGCCTCAAAGATTGCAGGGAAGGCAGTGGGGAAGCAGGCAAGTAGGTTGAGACTCGGGCTGGGACTCAGGGACTGTGGGGAAGGCAGACAAGTGGGCTGGGATTCGGCGACTACAGGGAAGGCAGAGGAGAAGGCAGGCAATCAGGCTGGGCTGCGGGCACCACATGGGAGGTAGCTGTGCAAATAATGATATCCCAATCCTCATCAGAGAAGCTGTTGAGCATGAACGGAAACGTCCAAACGCCATCTTATTTGGCCTAGAGGACATCAATGATAATGATGACATCCCAACTGTCTGAAACATCATCAATGATTATCAAGCATCAACCATCTCCCCTGATGAAATACTTGACATTTCCCGCATTGGCCGAGAGCTCAAAAACAGAGACGGCTCTGTGGCCCCAAGCTTCTGCAGGGTTATTTGCAAAAATGAATCAAGCAAACTGTCAGCTTCAAGATAACGTAAATTTATTTACACTATAAATTCATTCGCCAAAAACAACACCAACCATAAGAACCTACGTTGTCGCCCTGACCTAATCATACAGCAATGTGCCCGCTCCCGTGTACTCCGCACTGAACTCAAAAAACGTCTAGACAGTGGAGAGAAGGACCTGTACAATGACTACCATGCGGACTGTATCAAAAGTAAGTCACACAACCCGCAACTCAGCTTTAACCTTCAACCACAACCCTACCTCAACCAATCCACCATCACCCAAGACTAGGCACACACGCCCCTAACTACCTCAATTCCAACTACTGCTGGCCTTAAATGCAAGCTACTCAATACAATAAGCCTTGCGAATAAAATACCTGAATTTGTCCTCTTACTAAATATGGCTAAATTCGACATCATATTTGTCTGTGAAACATGGCTCAATGCATCTCTCCCTGACTCCATTACCACAGTAATAGACTATCATGTTTACTGATCAGATCATGAAATTCATAGAGGAGGTGGTGTTGCTATCTTCTATAAAAAGTCCTTACATCTAAAAAAACATCCAAGTTACCCAGGAGCTTGCTCTTCCTGAGACCATCATCTGTGAACTATCCTTAAATATCACATTTCGATTCTTACTATGTTACAGAGCACCTGATTAAGACATTGAACATGTAAACAAGTTAAATACACTACTAACATGGGCAGCATCCTGCCCACACACTTTCATCTTTCTTGGTGACTTCAATCTACCTCATATTGACTGGACCCTCAATGAATGTACAACTGAACCCATACACGCAACCTTCTACAATGCTGTTACAAATCTGGGACTGGAACAACTAGTAACCAACAACATTAGACTAAACAACTGCCTCGATCTCATCTTCTGCAATAGTTTGAATTTAATTTACGGAATACAAACTAAAGAACCCTTTTCCAGCAGTGACCACAATATGATTGATTTTTGTCTCAACATACGCCCACACAAAAATAATCACAATGATGTAATCCCCAATTAAAACTTCAAAAAAGGCAACTATGATCTTATAGACAACGATCTCTCATCCCTTGATTGGCAATCTCTATTCACTGGATGCAATACTGTTGAAGACCATTACAACATATTTTTACTTGAAGTCAAAAGAGTCATCAAACTATATGTACCAACAACAACTCCCACCCCCCAAAAAAACAACAACAACAAATTACCCATAACAATAAGGAAACTTCAATCCAAAAAGAGATCACTCTGGTGGAAAAACAAATCTGGACACGTTGCCAATTTCAAAAGCTGATACAAAAAAGTAGGCCACCAGATAAAGACCGAATGCACCAATTATCACATTAAACAAGAGGAAAACCTTCTATGCACCAATTCCACCTGCACTTTTTACAATTTTGTAAACAACAAACTAAAAGACTCAAGGTCCATCCCACCCCTGATATGACCTAAAGGTAAAGACTGCAATGACGACACCATTAAAGCCAACATGTTTAACACATTCTTCAGCTCAGTATTTGTAAACAGCAATGGATCATGCCCAATATTTCCTAGCCGAACCACAGACAACTACAATGATCTAATACATATTGATTTTACAGAAGACAATGTTGAAAAAGCACTACGCAATCTAAAACCATCTCTATCTATTGGACCAGATGGAATATGTGCCTACTTCTTAAAAAAGCTATCCACTGCCATAGCAGAACCTCTAAGCATAATCTTTGAAAAATCTTTCAGGACCAGCTCCTTGCCTAACCTATGGTCACAAGCCACGGTCATCCCCATCTTCAAAAAGGGAGACCCCAGCCTAGTTGAAAATTACAGACCAATCTCCTTATGCTGCGTCACCTGTAAAGTCATGGAATCAATTATTAACCAATCCATTATCCTCCACTTAGAGACAAACAACCTACTCTCCAATAAACAATTTGGTTTCAGGAAAAAAACTATCCTGTAATCTGCAACTCTGACACTGCAAAAACATATGGACTACACAACTCGATCAGGGCAAAGCAATAGACGCAATCTACATAGACTTCTGTAAAGCCTTTGATTCAGTGGTACACGACAAACTAGTCCTAAAACTAAAATCTTATGGTATCTCTGGACAACTGCATAACTGAATAGAAGCATTCCTGTCAAACAGACAACAAATGGTCAAAATTGGCAGTGTCCTATCAAATTCTGTACCTGTCAATAGTGGTGTCCCCCAAGGCAGTGTTCTAGGACCAACTCTCTTCATACTCTACATAAATGACCTCTGTGATCATATCAAGAGCAACTGCATTCTTTTTGCTGATGATGTAAAGCTGTTCAATACCACAGACAATACTGCTACCCTTCAAAAAGATCTTGACTATGTATCAGAATGGTCAAACAAATGGCAACTTCAAATCTCAACAAATAAATGCTCTGTCTTACATATTGGCAAAAAAAATCAGAAAATAAAATACAAGCTGAATAGTCAAGATCTTGTTGATGACCCAAGCTCTGTAAAGGACCTTGGAATACTCACCTCTAATGATCTAAGTGCTAGAGCCCACTGTAACTGCATAGCCAAAAAGCCATTAAGAGTTGTTAACCTAATCTTACGTAGTTTTTTCTCTGGTAATATTACACTAATAACTAGAGCATACAAAACATTTGCTAGACCAATACTCGAATACAGCTCATCAGTCTGGAACCCACATTACGTATCTGATATTAACACAGTTGAGAAAGTCCAGAAATATTTCACAAGAAGAGTTCTCTACTCCTCTACTCGTTGCAGAATACCTTATGCCACCAGACTTGAAATTCTAGACCTAAAACACCTAGAACTACGCTGCCTTCGGTCTGATCTAAGTATGGTATATAAAATCATACATTGCAATATCCTGCCTGTCAATGAATACTTCAGCTTCAACCATAACAACACAAGAGCACACAATAGATACAAACTCAAGGTTAACCGCACCAAACTTGATTGCAGGAAATACGACTTCAGCAACAGAGTGGTCAATGTCTGGAATACTCTACCTGACTCTGTAGTTTCTTCCCCAAACCCCAAAAACTTTAATCATAGACTGTCTACTATTGACCTCACCCCTTTCCTAAGAGGCCTGTAGGGGGCGTGCAGAAGCACAGCAACGTGCCTACCATCCCTGTCCTATTGTTTCTTTTATTTTTCTTATATGTACCCATTTCATGTATACATAACTATCTATATACTTATACCTATTATCTTGTAAGCAATTGACAAATCAAATAAATAAATAAATAAAAATAAATAAGTGAAGGAAAACTCACCAGGCAGGGATCATCTGGGCCGTGTGGTCGAGGCAAAGGAACCAGAGAGCAGCAGCAGTAGCTATGCCTTGGGCGTTACTCTAGGCGAGTGGCTTAGGCAGGTAAGGCAAGATAAGGAGTGATGGGGTGGGGTGGGCGGGATCAGCCAGCAGTGTGATTAGCTAGTTCTCTGAACTGTACAAAAATTTAACAACCGGTTCGCCTGAACTGGTGTGAACTGGCTGAAGCCCACTGTATATATTTGTTACATACAACAGCGTACAGTACAATCTAGCAGCATAACAATATTGTAATAAAGCACTATGATTCTTGCAAAAATGGCTTGTGAATTATGATAATCACTAAACTTTGTTTCTGGTTGTACAAAACTCAGTATGATTACATAGGATGTATAACCTGCGTTTTATATACTTTCCTATAGAACTGAAACCTTGTGTGTATGGAATTTCAATTGTCATTTTATGTTAAAAGCAGATTGTTTACAAATGCATTAATCCACATTTCAACTCCCCCTCCTTCTCTCTGGCATATTCCAACTTGTAATGTAAATTCAAGAAAACTAGAGTCACACTAGGTTTATTTAATAGAAATGATCTTGCTTTGTTAAAAAAAGCTTTTATAAAATCTATAGCTAAGGAGTCCTTCAAACACATTCTCCTTTATCGGTACATCCTTTTCCGTAATGGTGTATATATGTGTGTTTTCATGCACAAAGGTGCAGAGGATTTTTCTGGATCCCAAAATTGTGGGTTGGTGTGGGTGGCTATTCTTGGTCACTGCCACCATCAATGCAGGCTTTAAATCACAGCTAACTTAATGTAACCCAGATACACATCAGACAGTCACCTGGTGCTAATTTTCATAGAATACTGCTCTTCTATAAGCGGCTACTTCCTTCTGATTCTCTTTTCTATATTTGTTGGCATTTTCAGGTTAAGAAGCCTGACATCTCTGCATGATGATGATGAGATGATGGTATCCATTCAGTCATGTCAGCTATTCTGTGGGACAGGTCTTTTCATGTCTTCCAATCTTTCACTGCTTTTTTGAGTTGTTCTGCACTCTCGCTGGTGTCAGCTTTGATAGTGTCCAGCCACCGTGTCCTTTGGTAACCTGGTTTCCTTCTACCACTAACCCCAACATAATTGCTTTCTCTGGTGAATTCCCCTGCATTACATGGCCAAAGTAAGTGAGATCCAGTTTTTATGATTTTTTTTCTTCCATTGGCATGTCTGATGTCTCTGCATGAAACCAAAATAAAGCTGCACCCATCCTCTTTTAGAATCCCAGCTGAAAGGCAGGAAAACCTTTCTGTTTTTATTGCTTACTCAAATATTTTATTGGCCTGCTCATTATCTAGATTGGCAGGTTTAGTTTGTATTTATTAACTTCTCCTCTTTGGACCTCTGGGAATTTTTTTTTCTCTGCATCTCTATAGCTTCCTTCTTTATACTCCTTCCTAGAACTTCAATCATCCTCAGAAATCTTAAGTGAGTAGAATATAGCATGGGTTCCTTTTCATATCTTTAACTCTAGGGATGAAAATCAAAGGTACAGGATGCTCTGTTCTCATTCTCTGTTGTCCGAACCATGAATCTTTTTCTAGAAGGATGGACCATCCAACTGTACTTCTGTAGATTTGTAAACCTCCTTCCCTTATCTGTTCCACTATCCAAAGAGCAGACAATAGTAAGAATGGACTTTGAAGGATGCAGGAAGTCAGGTAAAGAGAGAAAATGCAGAGGCATTTTTTCATTTCTATTCATCTGAACTATGAATTCTCTCTCCCTCTCTCCCTCCCTCCTCTCTCGCCTCTTTTTTCTTTCTTTTCCCTCTCTATTCTCTCTCTGTGCATATATATGCCATACCTATTGAGAATGACATCAACTTGCAAAATAGAAATTCGCTAATTCACTTGTTCATCATTCTCTCTATTACAAGACCACCAGGTAACGTTAAAGCACACAAATCCTTTGGCTGATTATCATTCTTTTTGAGTGAGCTGTCAAAAGCCAGTGCTTTATTTGATATCACACAAAATAACATATCTTTAGCGGGAAGAAGCACTGTTTGCTACAACACTGCACTGAAAACTGAGTGGCAGCTATTGATTATATCAAAAGAATCTGTGGCTGTCTCTTGGTAGAAGCTACAGAAGGGCTGCATTGGTTAATTTATTGCCATTTAAGCTTTCCCTTGTTAGTAAGGGATTTTCAAGAGTTCAGCATCCTTTCTAGGACTTAAAAAACTTTATCTCAATAGATGAGCTTGCAAATATTCCTGTTTATGTGCTCATGGGTATTCACATGGACTTTCTTAGTTGAGACCTTAAGGATTATCCATATGTGTGAGCCATACTATTACTATTTTTCTTTGTTGACCTTTTCATCCACCGGATAGCATGGAGAGACTTCAAGGTGAACATGACAACTGTTGTGGTTATCACTGCAGTTGCCCATGTGAACCCTTCCCAGTTTATAGACAATCATTTATGGGGAAAAAATAACCTGCTGATGTGTATGAATAGGCCTGAAATAATGGCTGGTAAGCTACCAGTGGAATTATTGATATTTTTTCACTATTGGGAAAATATTTTACTTTGCAGAAGTTCATTGTTCAAGCTGGTATATATTTCTTTTCTTTCTTTATATTGAGCATGGCAGGGGAATCAGACAAATATCAAGCCAAAGGTTGGATCTGGAGATTAAAGTGATACCAATAGAAGAGAATATCATAATTCAGATTTGAACTCTGCCATCCTTGAGACACTCTGAGCTTGTTTTCTTTCAAACATTTCATTACCCAATTAGGTAACATCATCAGCGCTAGAAGGGAGGGAGTTTCCTCTCTGTTTATAGTTCTAATCAAGGAACTACCAAGGACATTCCCACCAAAACTTATAGAGTAAGCCACTTGTATTTAACTCCTTTTTAGCATTGATGATGTTATCTAGTTGGGTAAAGGAATGTCTGCAAGAAACAACTAAGGTCAGTGATCACCAAATGCCCTGCAGATTAAAGTGAACATCAGGGTTACAAAGTAAGGAAACAGCTAATGTTCACGTTGAAGTCTCTCCTCAAATAAAAAGTTATATTGTAGAATTATCTCCAAGCATAATCAGATATATTTGTAGTAATTACTTTTGACCTCCCTCTCATGTCCATGATTGCACAAGCAACATATGCTAGGCTTAGCCAAGATATTATGGAGGATATAAAGTAGTCAAACTATCAACAAAGTTCCATTGTTGCAACAGAACAAAATATGTCAAAGAACTGATGACTTTCCCATGGTTAAAAGTGAATGTTTCTCACTCTCCAGATAAATCCTTTTAATATTATTGTCCATTCTTATGTTCCATTACTAAAAGGACGCTGCCAGTGTCCACCACCTTCATAATTGAAAGTGATTTTGAAATCACCAGCAAGATCTTTGGAATTGTCCCCCATCAAAGTGATTAATGAAAGCTAGTTTGTGGCATTGATTTGTATATCAATGCCCCAAACCAGGAGATTGAATTCTAATCTGGCCTTAGGTATGTAACCAGCTGGTTGTCAACTCATAAAGCATTCCTATGCCTGTTTTCGAGTTGCCAAAAGCAGGAGTGGTGGTGGTGGGAATCTGAAGGAGCAGTATGGCAATTAAAACCAGAAGTACATTCCAAGCTTTTCTTACAAAGATTGTAGCCTAGGCTACTGAATCTTCTGCCCACAAAAATCCTTCATTGGAGAGTGTGATTGATGACACCCAGCCCATGAACGAGCTTTGTTGGAGAATCTGATTTATGACACACCCAAAGAGGAGGGGGAAAACAGGGTCACAGGTGACTGTAAATTACATGTGGCAGAGTTGGCTTCATATGGGTCAATGCCGACATGTTACTCCTAATAAATCTTTTGATTAAGGGCAATCATTGGAACCCTGGGTGACTTTGGATTCTCTCAATCCTAGGAAGAAGGCGGCAAAAACAAACCACTTCTGAAATTGTGCTAAGAAAACTGCAGGCAGTAGTCAACACTGATGCAAAGTTTTCATTAGTTCTCATAACTAATCTTAGTTATCCTTTTATCCATGGTGACACAATGGTTAGAATGCAGTATTTATTGCAGGCTAACTCTATATTCCCATTACCAGGAGTTCGATCCTGATCGGCTGAGCCTTCTATCTTTCTGAAGTTCATAAAATGAGGACCTAAATTGTTGGGGGCAATATGCTGACTCTGTAAACAGCTTAGAGAGGGCTGCAAAGCACTGTAAAGCTCTATATAAGTTTAAGTGCTATTGCTATTATCAGAATTGATCATGAGTTTTTATTTATTTTGCCTGCATTCCCAATATCATTGCACAATTGATGATCATTCTGAATAATTAAAAATGTTTATATTTTGTATAATGGTGTACCAACCTAAGTGCTATATGTTGAAACCTCTTAGATCTTTCTATATAACATTTCTGAAATGGCTTACTTTAACTCCATTTCTGAGATTGCTCCTACATGTAGAATAAAGAAATTTCCTTTGTCAAATCTGATTCTACAATTCATTTTCCATTTCAGGATTAACAAAACATTCCCTTTAGAGGAACCACTCCTTACTTTTTGATGCTTGTTCTTTGATTTTGTTTAGAGCATTATCTTTTTATTTCATTTTATTTGTTTGATGAGAGATGTTGTTTTTAAGTGTTTCATCTTGGCTGGCCTGGGATTGTAGATTAGATGTTAAAACACCACACACATTATGCAGAGCCTAGAGAAATGGTCTTTAGGAGTTCGAACAAAGACCAGTTTTCAAAAGTAAAAAGCTTCTGATCACTGATGCATATAAAAGCTATTTTATGGTGTCTCAATATGATAAAAAATAATTTTTGAAAAAGAAAGAATTATACTGCATTGTGTTACAGGGTAATTGTACAAGTTCTGAAAATAAAATGTGTGGTTTTTTTAAAAAAAAATTCTGTTTGCTCAGTGTATAAACCTTGGATATTTGCTGTTTATTTCATTTATTTATTTATAAAAATTTATATGGCTGCCCAACTCCCTCTCAGTGACTCCAGCTTACAAAGATAAAAACCCAATATAAAAACAATAAAAAAACAATAACCCTCCAACCTCCCTGGTGACCACAATTAATCAATTGAGCTTGCAGTTAGGTCCCAATCTGGAAACAAGTCCAAGTCCTACTACTTGATAAAATAGAAAAATGTGGGTTAGACATTATCACCACCAGATGGACTTGTAACTGGATGACCAACCGCACTCAACATGTAGTCCTCAATGGAACTGCATCTACATAGAGGCAAGTATGCAGTGGGGTATCCCAAGGCTCTGTTTTAGGCCTAGTACTCTTTAACATCTTCATCAATGATTTGGATGAGGGGATGGAACTCATCAAATTTGCAGTTGACATCAACCTAACAGGAATAGCCAACATTCCTGAAGATAGGCTTAAGATACTATAGGATCTTGACAGACTTGAACATTGGGCGCTAGCAAACAAAATGAAATTCAATTTTGAAAAAAGTAAGGTTTTATATTTAGGCAAGAAAAACAAAATGCGCAGGTACAGTATATGTGGTACTTCGCTCAAAAATAGTAACTGTGAGAGGGATCTTGGAGTCCTAGTGGATAATCATTTAAATATGAGTCAGCAGTGTGCTGCAGCTGCCAAAAAAGCCAACACAGTTCTAGGCTGCATAAATCAAGATCACATGAAGTGTTAATACTTGGTAAGGCAACACCTGAAATACTGCACCCAGTTTTGGTCGCCACGATGTAAAAAAGATGTTGAGACTCTAGAAAGAATGCAGAGAAGAGTAACAAAGATTACTAGAGGCTAAAACATATAAAGAATAGTTGCTGGAACTGGGTATATCTAGTCCGATGAAAAGAAGGACTAGGGGAGACATGATAGCAGTGTTCCAATATCTCAGGGGCTGCCACAAAGAAGAGGGAGTCTAGCTATTCTCTAAAGAAGCAATGGGTGGAAACTAATCAAAGAGAGAAGCAACTTAGAACTAAGGAGAAATTTCCTTACAGTTAGGTATACTTAAAGCCAAGCGGTTAAAAGATCGAAAAAGCCAGATCTGAGGTAAAAACTGTCTATGGCAGGGTCTGAGTAATATATCCACCAAAAGAAGAATTCTGAGGCAGGTATATTCCTCAAATAATATGTTTATTGGACACACCATATCAGCACAGCTAGTGAAAAACATTCCCACAGATTTCCCCCTAATTAAAAGAGCAAATATTCCCTCCCCAGGTGTCACCAGTCACATTGTCTAATGTAGATAGCTGGGAGGCTGCTTGGTCTCTTCTCTGTCATCTGCTGGGATGATCTTGGTTCCCACAGGAAAACTTTTTGTTTTGATGGGTAGCTGGTCTATCTGCTTGCCCTCTCCCCTTTCAAAGTTTGGGACAACTATGAGGCAGGAGAAAAATGGCTTCAGCCAGGTCAGCTTCAGAGTTGACAGTTCCCCCTTAACTGGAGAGAAGTTCCTAGAAAATTCAAAAATGGAAAATACATTAGCCTTGTATCATCCACCCCTCCCTCTCCGCGGAGGTCCCTGGGCTTTTGCATGTATTTCTCATGAAATTTCTATTGACTTTTACATCCCAACTTTTGACCCAAGTGGCTTCAGACAATGGGTATCCCTTCCACTATATTAGGTACTGTAGCCTCCCCTTATATAGTCTGAAATCTAGTATTCTTTTTACTTTATGTGTCTCCCCTTGTACTATGATTGGTTTTGGGGCTGCCTGGTCTATTGGCCTCAGTTGAGACCTTATTACTGGCTTTAACAGGCTGCTGGATGCACTTTCCCTAACAGCGGAGGAGTTTCAGCTCCACCAATGATAGGGTTAATGATTTTCATGATGGAAAAAGGTCCTATAAACTTTGGCCTGTAGCTTTTTACAGGGGATCTTTAATCTTAGGTACTTAGTGGAAAGATAGATATTGCCCCCTATTCAAAAGGGTGTCTGGGGGGACTGATGATTATCAGCTTGCACTTTTTGCTTTTTTGCAGTTTCTCAAAGGGCTTGTTTAGTGTTTTCCCATGCTGTTCTCAATGACTCCATTCATTCGTTAAGGTCATGGAGAAGGGTGGCTCCCTAGGGAGTTCAGGCATGGGGAGAATTCCATGCTGGTTGTGATTTTGAAGGGGGTTAATCCAGTGCTAATGTGCACAGTATTGTTATATGATATCTCAGTGATAGGTAGCAAGTCTGCCCAATTAGTTTGCTGATAATTGAAATAGCACCTTAAATATTATTCTATCTCATGTTAGTTCATTCCGCCATCTCATTAGTACTCAGATAAAAAACCAAGCTAAGTCCCTGGATGGACCCAACAGATCTAATAAATTCCCTTCAGAATTTAACTGTGAATTGGACCCTCGGGACCCAGCCGACTCCATGGTAATATACCCAGGGTGGAGGCCCTTGCCACTCCGGCGGGCTGTGCAGGTGGCTGGGTGGGCTTACTAACTGGTGGCGGCATGGCAGACTTTGCTGTGGACCCAGGCTCGACTGCACCAATGACACCAGAGGAAGGCTAGCTGACTGAGCCCCTGCAGCTGGAACCGGATTGTGACATAGTGGGAATGTTGGAGCAGGCTGGTTCAGGATCACTCTGGGTGGCTTGAACATACATGGTTGTCCAATGCCCTCGATGCTCATCTGGTCGAACCTCTCCTGCAGATTCTCCATCATCTGGCTGGGGGAAACCATCAGGTATCTCCATTCCCCACACTTGTCTAGTTCAAGGGCTCTCCTTGCTCTCCAGTGCAGGGTGAAGGTGACTGACTCCCACGTAGAGGTCACTGGGAATTTCCTTCCAAGCCCCTGGATGAAACCCTGGCTCTGAGGTCCTCTTCAGCCTGGTACAAGCCCACAGTGGCCACCACCTCTGTCCAGACTTTCAGCCAGGTCGCCGCTGGGAGGGCGACCTCCTCCAGCATTGCTGCTGCCTGCAGGGTCTCAGTGGGGATCGCACTGGCACCAGCCCCAGTGACCTGTTCCCCCTGCTTCTCCATCTCCATGGCTTCCCCTGAGTTTTTGTGCTCAAAAATCAGGTGAGCAGCCAAGACTGAGGACCCCGGAGAGTGGCTCTGGTTGGAGCTGAAGTTTAGGAGTCTTGGTTTAATGTCAGGGTTCCAAGTAATGTTTCAACCAAAAGCAGAACTCCAAGGCAGGTATATTCCTCAAATAATATGTTTATTGGACACGCTATATCAGCACATCTAGTGAAAACCAACTCTAAAGGTTCCCAAGGTTTTCCCCCTAATTAAAAGAGTAAATATTTCCTTCCCAGGTGTTTCCGGTCACATTGTCCAATGAAGGTAGCTGGGAGACTGCTTGGTCACTCCTCTGTCATCTGCTGGAATGACCTTGGTTCCCACAGGAAAACTTTTTGTTTTGACAGGTAGCTCTGTCTATCTGCTCCCCCCCCCCCCCCCCCCCACCCATGCTTCCTTTCAAAGTTTGTGGCAACTATGAGGCAGGAGAAAAATAGCTTCAACCAAGTCAACTTCAGAATCAACAGCCTACTTACTTTCACCTTTCCCAAGTTCTCCCCTCTCCCATTATCTCCCTGGTGTCCAATTGGATTCAAACAAATTATTTTTGTAACATGCTGGGCGGGCTCAGCAGTGGTCCACATTCCATTCCTATTCTTGTGATCTTGGAGTCGACCAGCTGATGTCTCTGGCAGGCACTCAGAGTGGTTTTGGTTTCTTGTTCTCACTCCCCAACTTACTAGCTCTGTCCATCCCCCTGGAGGCCATGGCAGTCTGCCATTACCGAAGCAGGATGGCAGTACTGACACCAAGTGACTTCATTGAAGGCTACTTCCAAGTTCACTTGCCTAAGATTGGGCTTTAAAAAAAATCACAGAATGATTCTAACTGGATTTGAAAGTATCATATCTCTAGATTCCACCTGGCACACAAATAATAAAAAATGAGACATGGGAAGATGATTTCTTACTAGTGTGGGGTGTACATACATTCATTCAGTAGATTCCCCCTATTAAAACATTCAGGAAAGCAATTTGCTGTTCCAGCTTATTAGAAGCTAATTTGGATCTAGTAAATGTAAAACACCTCATATCTGAAACCAAAATAGCTGGCTCTGGAGTTTACCACTGCTTGAAACATTGGTTCAAGACAAGATACTTTGTCTCAAGTGTAGTAAAAGAGGAACAAGAGAAGCGTGATGTAGCAGAGGAGCTAAAATAGAGAAGAAACACTTTGGACTGGATTTTTAGTCCATTAAAAACAAGGTATCCCAATCCTTCTTTAACTATTATATGAAATTGACTCTTTACTCTCAGATTTCTGAAGTTGCAATACTGTTCAGGCATATCACTTCTAAGCCATTAACTGATTATGGTTCATCACGCAGTAAGCCAGGTATTCAGTCTGGATTTGGCATTTGTATCTGCCTATTGAGACCTTCCCAAGGATCCAGGATAAGCAAATGTTGATGTTTGATGGTATTAAATGTATCATTACAGGATGTAAGCTGTCTAAATAAAGCTGCCTTTTGCAATTGATTGATGGTTAATTTGTCAATTCTGATGGTATTTAAGATGTTTTGGGATTTTATCCAAGGCATCTATGACTATTGGTCCAAGGGTCCTTGTTAGGCATCACAAATCAGGAATCAGAATAGAGTTCAAAAGCACTATGACAGTGGTGGCTAACATTTTTCGGCTCTCGTGCTGAAAATTGCATGTGTGCAACCCCTGCCATCCACGCATGCACGCCAGATACTTGACAATCAGCTGGTGGGCAGGTGGTGCGCGCACATGCGCAGTGAGGCTCTTCCAGGTAACCTCTCATGTGCTGGCAGAAATGGCTCTGTGTGCCACTTCCGGCACGCATGCCATAGGTTCACCATCATGGCACTATGAGTTTATTTCATGCTGCTTATACACAAGAATCCTATGTACTAATGGTCAAGACAAATTGGCACCAGGTAAGAGTCAATTGACTTCAAAGTGGGGCTGAACATAGGTCTCTTATGAGGCATAGTGACTCCAAACTGATAATATATTTGATCGCTCCCTTGGGCTCACCTGGTCATCTCCTACACTCCTATTGCTATTGGTCCAAGGCTCCTGTTGCTATTAGTAACTGATTGTTACTATTAATAGAAGTAATAGTACTGTTTTCCTCCATGAGTAGACATTGACAATTTCTCCCTTGCCAATCTTCTTGTCTACAATACACACTCTGATATTCCCTCTGCATAAGGCCACAAATACTCACTTCAGTTCAAGAAGGTTGAATGTTATACCTGCAATTCTGTGAGAGGGTGAGAACTCCTACAACAAAGCAACTATTTTTTCATTCAGGTTGTGTAAGTCTATACACAGAGGAATCATAAAGGTTACAACCAGAAATGCCAAACAGAATAACATTTTGATAGAAAGAGAGAAAAAAGAGAAGAAAATAAGTAACATTTGTAATGTCCTACATTTCTTCCACATTGAACATTCCAAGTACTCAGCAAAGACCAGTAGCTTCTCAGTTACAGACCATCTTTTATATATGTTAGACCATTTCTTAGGTTAGAAATCAATCAAAGTGAAGCCAGGTCATGAGTTTTGTTTTAGCATTCTTGTAAACAGAGCAGTGAAGCAGAGATTATCAGGAAGACACTGACATGGTAGAAGGCAACTGTCAGAGCTTTGGGATATTGATAGTATTTTGACACCTATCTTTTCCCCTCTTTCTTTTCTTCAGCCCACATGAGGCAGAGCAATAACGAACACCCTATAAATCTACCTATCAAGCTTTGTATCTGACTGGAGATATGAACTGGGATTCTAGTTGTAAAAAGCTATCATGATTATATTATTCTGCCTTTTTCTGGGCTCCCCCATTGAACTCCTTAAAAGGTTTCCCCCCCCTTTTTTAGGGCTGGGGTCCCCCCAGATCTCCCCCCATGGAAAAATACCCACCCCCTTTTTTTTGCATAAATATTTTAGCCCAGTGTCATAATGGGGCGAGTTACCCTCAGGGAATGGCAACTTCAAATCCTCAGACTTTCTTAAGTACTTCACTGAAGTTCTCCAGTGAAGGAATTTGGCCAATGAAAAAAGAGAAGTGAGAAGTCCCAGAACAAAACCATCCAAAAGAGATGAGTGACTAAAACAAGAGAGGAGATAAGAATTGGTTAGCAAAAGTCAAGGCTAAGCTAAGAAGAGACTTTCCTTTTAAGATACATATTTATTTATTTATTTATTTATTTATTTATTTATTTATTTATTTATTTGTTTGTTTGTTTGTTTGTTTGTTTGTTTGTTTGTTTGTTTGTTTATTTGATTTGATTTGTCAATCGCTTACAAGATAACAGGTATAAGTATCAACATAGTTTTGAATACATGAGACAGATACGTATAAGAAGAATAAAAAGAAACAATAGGACAGGGACAGTAGGCATGTTTGTGCGCTTATGCACGCCCCCTAGAGACCTCTTAGTAAAGGGGTAAGATCAATAGTAGACAGTCTAAGGTTAAAGTTTTTGGGGTTTGAGGAAGAAACCACAGAGTCAGGTAGAGTATTATAGACATTGACTACTCTGTTGCTGAAGTCGTATTTCCTGCAATCAAGTTTGGTGCAGTTTATTTTGAGTTTATATCTATTGTGTGCTCTTGTATTGTTTTGGTTGAAGCTGAAGTATTCATTGACAGGTAGGACATTGCAATATATAATTTTATGTACTATACTTAGATCAAACCGAAGGCAGCATAGTTCTAGGTTGTCTAGGTCTAAAATTTCAAGTCTGGTGGCACAAGGTATTCTGCTACGAGTAGAGGAGTGGAGGACTCTTCTCGTAAAATATTTCTGGACTTTTTAATATCAGATATGTAATGCGGGTTCCAGACTGATGAGCTGTATTCAAGTATTGGTCTAGCAAATGTTTTAACCAATGTAGAGTCATTGTAAGAAGACTGTTTCTTTTCCAGGATTGCCTATCTAAGCAAAATGTGACAAATCCATGTTTCTTTGGATTCTTTTTTAAGTATTTATTTTGCCTATATTGGACTTGGAATGCTGTCACACACCGCCCCCAATTTATTTTAATTCTGATCACCAGAGAAAATTAGATTAATGAAGAATATGCTGTTTAGTTTTTTTAGAGGAAAGCATCAGCATGTACTTTTAGGAAGTTTTGCTCATTTTATACCATTTATATGTCATTCAATAAATTAAAGGTTAATAGAATTACTGGGTTATCTTTCTTCTTTGGTTCACACAAGTCGCTAATTGGGTTTTTAATAATGCTAATCCATTTTGTTAATTGTACATATCTCTCTAGAACCTAATCCAGAGGTAGGTAACCTGAGCCCTCAAGGATGTATGGGTGTCCCAAAAAGATAATAAATTTATTATTATTACCCTGTTTCTCCAACAATACGGCCTCCCCCAATAGGAAGTCCCAGCATGTTTTATAGGCATGAAATGAAATTAAGCCCCTCTCCCCAAATTAAGGCCTATATTAAAACATGCGAAATGGGGGGGAATGGTGGGGGGGCTTGCCGTTAGGAAGTACTTTTGTTGCACACCCGGATATGGTGCTGCCTGCATTGAGCCCGATACGAAGTGCCCCACCAACGCCGAGGTCAACATCCAAGCTGTCGCTGCCCGCCCGCCTGAAGATGCAAAGGGGGGGAATTAAGTCACCCCCGAAAAGATGGCCTAGCCATTTTTTCAGGGCTCAAAAAAAAATAAGACCCGGCCTTATTATATGAGAAACACGTTATTATTATTATTATTATTATTATTATTATTATTATTATTATTATTATTATTATTATTATTGTTGTTGTTGTTGTTGTTATTGTTGTTATTGTTGTTATTGTTGTTATTGTTGTTATT